AAGGAATTCAACTTTGGCAGAAGGCGAAGAAATTCCAACCAAGTTTCGATGAAGAACTTGTAATATGTGTCTCAAACCATATATCACATCATGACGAAGACTTTTTGTTCCACCAAAGGCCACAATTCTCAACTTGACATGGTCGAACGAAGAACATGGTGTTCAACATATCCCATTCCATTCCTTTTGACACCCACGATTGCTTCCTAAGGACACTGGCTGCATCTCCAAAAGCATCATTCGATTTGAAGACTTATGCTCCTTGGATCATATGTTTCATACAAAGAAAATCTACCATTGCGTATCAGATGGTCGTGCTCATCGTGGCACCATTCAATTTGAAGACTTATGCTCCTCGGATCATGTGTTTCTTTAGAGCACAATCTCTTTTGGTAAGGTCAAAAACATACACCTCTTGAACGATGCATCTGTGACCGCTTGCTCTCAAACAGGTCGGCCGGTCGGCGACACGCTCTCAGTTTTCAAAGTGGTATGTGTCATGCCCAATGCCAATAGGAGTACCTTCTAGGACGCGGAATTTGTACTGTATATCTTTCTCTGACGTGGCGAGTCGAGCCATGGCAGGGAGGGTAGGGCAACCTAGCACAGGACCTCTTGCAAAAGAAAGAAAAACACCAGAAATCTTGGCCTGAGAGGGAGACAAATAACTGCTGATACACATTTCAGTGCAGCGAATATCACGACGCCACATCGGCTCCGTCACGCATCCCTCGTTCTTGCAGCCTCGCAGGTTGCGTGCCATTGCTCGGCCAAGTTGCAAGCCTGCAGAGGAAAATGTTTCTTCCTTCCTTTGCAGTTTTCGTCCCGCACGTATTTCACTTTTTTCACTTGGGGGAACGCACGCACGGTTATTTTACTACTCCATACTACGTACGTGATAGGTCAACCATGTCATGGGCACAGGCCGTTGTTATCATGTATTCATGTGGTCCTTGACTCAAATCTAGCTCATTGATCCCTCCGTCCACGAATAAGTGTATGTTTGATACTTAAAATTTATCCACAAAAGAGTATACTTCTATCTTTTCAATGCACTTTAAAATAGAAAAATGCTTCTCTCTCATTATGAACAGGTAACCACATCTTCCTTCCTGCGTGCAAGCACAACGGTGGCGACTTCCATTATGTTGGCTCCAAAATGCATGTAT